TGGTTATGTTTTGTAATTTGTTGTTGTGTTTTGTAATTTGTGGTTGTGTTTTCTTATTTGTGGTTGTGTTTTGTGATTTGTGGTTGTGTTTTCTTATTTGTTCTTGTGTTTTGTAATTTGTGGTTGGGTTTTGTAATTTGTGGTTGGGTTTTGTAATTTGTTGTTGTGTTTTCTTATTTGTGGTTGTGTTTTGTAATTTGTTGTTGTGTTTTTTGATTTGTGGTTGTGTTTTCTTAGTTGTGGTTGTGTTTTGTAATTTGTTGTTGTGTTTTTTGATTTGTGGTTGTGTTCTGTAATTTGTGGTTGTGTTTTGTAATTTGTTGTTGTGTTTTGTAATTTGTGGTTGTGTTTTCTTAGTTGTGGTTGTGTTTTGTGATTTGTTGTTGTGTTTTGTAATTTGGGGTTGTGTTATGTGATTTGTCATTGTGTTTTCTTATTTGTGGTTGGGTTTTATAATTTGTGGTTGTGTTTTGTAATTTGTGGTTATGTTTTGTAATTTGTTGTTGTGTTTTGTAATTTGGGGTTGTGTTATGTGATTTGTTGTTGTGTTTTCTTATTTGTGGTTGTGTTTTGTAATTTGTTGTTGTGTTTTGTGATTTGTTGTTGTGTTTTGTAATTTGGGGTTGTGTTATGTGATTTGTTGTTGTGTTTTCTTATTTGTGGTTGTGTTTTGTAATTTGTTGTTGTGTTTTGTGATTTATTGTTGTGTTTTGTAATTTGGGGTTGTGTTATGTTATTTGTGGTTGTGTTTTCTTATTTGTTGTTGTGTTTTGTGATTTGTGGTTGTGGTTTCTTATTTGTGGTTGTGTTTTCTTATCTGTGGTTGTCTTTTGTGATTTGTTGTTGGGTTTTCTTATTTGTGTTTTTTTTTCTTTGTGGTTGTGTTTTGTAATTTGTTGTTGTGTTTTGTGATTTGTTGTTGTGTTTTGTAATTTGTGGTTGTGTTATGTTATTTGTGGTTGTGTTTTCTTATTTGTTGTTGTGTTTTGTGATTTGTGGTTGTGTTTTGTGATTTGTTGTTGTGTTTTCTTATCTGTGGTTGTGTTTTGTGATTTGTTGTTGGGTTTTCTTATTTGTGTTTTTTTTTTTCTTTGTGATTGTGTTTTGTAATTTGAGTTTGTGTTTTGTAATTTGTGGTTGTGTTTTGTGATTTGTTGTTGTGTTTTATTATTTGTGGTATTTTTTTGTAATTTGTGGTTGTGTTTTGTAATTTGTGGTTGTGTTTTGTGATTTGTTGTTGTGTTTTCTTATTTGTCCTTGTGTGTTCGTATTTGTTGTTGTGTTTTCTTATTTGTCCTTGTGTTTTCTTATTTGTTGTTGTGTTTTTTTATTTGTTGTTGTGTTTTGTAATTTGTGGTTATGTTTTCTTTTTTGATGTTGTGTTCATATTTGTTGTTGTGTTTTCTTATTTGTGGTTGTGTTTTCTTATTTGTTGTTGTGTTTTGTAATTTGTGGTTGTGTTATGTGATTTATTGTTGTGTTTTGTAATTTGTGGTTGTGTTATGTGATTTGTGGTTGTGTTTTCTTATTTGTCCTTGTGTTTTGCACTTCAGGGCCACCGTAAGTTACACAGATTGAGCCACTAAAAATGTCAGTTCTACCAGAATCTCCATGGCACAGTGTGAGTGCAGACTAAATGAAAAAATGAAACAAAATGAAATCTCAGGCTGACTTTCATCATCATGCCAAACCACACACACTTACTCCAGGGGACACTGCACTTCATCGTCAGCACAAGAAAAACAAGCTCACCACACCATACAACAACAAGCCATACACTGTGACCAATACCAAAGGCTCCATGGTTACAGCGGCTAGAGATGGGCACTGCATCGTCAGGAATTCTTCATTCTTCAAGAAGATACCACCACAGCTACTGGACATCTCAGCTGATCCTGATGACGAAGGTCGTGAATACAGCAAGATACCCCACACGACTCAGACATCCTCCCACATACTTGAAGGACTACAAATAAACAATTGCTACTTGAAATGACAATTGCTACTTGAAATGTGTGGAGTGGAGAGACAATGACATTGGAATACCAAGATGGACAACTTTTGTTCATTTGTTCATTTCAATTATTCTACAGTTTAAAAAAACAAACAACAAAGTAGAACAGTTAAAAAAAGAAAACTTGATTTTTCTGTTTTCAGACAGATTTGATCTATTCTGTTTTATTTTCAGATTTGCAATGTTCTGTTATCAGGCAAGTTTTGAAGTATGTTTGAAGAGCAGGTTCAGCATACCAACATTTGTATCATTTTGTTTCTTTGTTAGAGAAAAAAAAAAAGAGCAATGTAATATTGATGACAGCTTTAAGTGAAGCAACAACGCCAGCTATGGGTGACACATTTATATAGAGCAGTCATGTAAGCACAGTCAAGGCTAGTTAGTCACTGTTCGTGCATGTAACCAGCAGCCTCTGGATTAAAGCCTATACATTGCTACGTCGTTTTCCGCCTGGTTCATCTTCGGGTTTTACAAACATTACACAGCTGTATTGTTAAAAAAATGAGCGCAGTTACATGAAATAAAATCAAAATTAACATTCCCTGAGCCAGACAACGCTATTACCAGCTATACTGATCAAATTAAACGTATCTTGTGAAGCTGAGATCGAAAGTGACATAAAACATGCTTCTCAGACATAAAGTGACACTTACAATGAATACCTGTTCTGACTACATTTTCTAACTCAAAGTGTTGTTTCAAAGTAAAAATACTGTTAGTAGGAGTAACTCAGACAAAATCAGATGAAACAGCTGTACTTGTCATGATTCACATCATGGCAGCCTTTCCTTCCCCTTTTGTTGGATTGGTTGTCATTCCCTGGCCCTTTCCAAATTGTCACAGTATGCAGTACGTACTATTCAGTATGGAATTTCAGTATACTGAACTTTCGTGGTCATTCAGTATGCATTTTTTGGGTCCGCGCAGTATACTGAACATTTCAGTATGGATACTAACTTCCGGGTTTTACGCAGTATGGATCGGATGCGTGCTTTCAGGAAATGAATTGTATTTTACCACCCACAATGCTGTGCGAAATTAAACGTAAATCGTCACGTCACGTCTGCCTCCAAATCAAAACAAACGAGCGTGGATTAATTTAATCAATTTTTAATCTTAATTTAAAGTACTTTAAATTTACTTTAAATTAACAACAGACAATATAACAAATATCTGCATTATTATAAAACCTTTCCCCCTCTATCTAAATAATGATTTAAATATTTAAATGTGTCTTTATTGGTTTATTTTATATTCTGTATCTTATTGTCTTTCATTTGTACTTTTCTTTATGTACTGTATGTTATTTAGTTATTCAATCTGCCTTTTACTTGATTTACATTGTGATATTGTTTTTTCTTTACCTGACTGTATATGCGCATGAATAAAACTAAAGAAAAAAAGAAAAAACGGGTGAATGCGGTTGGTTCGGGAAACGTAAATGACGTCACTTCCATACTGAATGAATCAGAAGAAGTAGGCACAAACATCTGCCTACTTTGTGTGCATACTGAATAGTAGGTACTAACAGTATGCAGCATGGATAGTACGTACTGCATACTGCCTACTGCCTACTGAAAGATTGAGTATGTACTTGGCAATTCGGATACGGCCCCTGTCTGTTTAATCCTCGTGTCTCTCCCCTGTCTGTATGAGTTTGGTGGGCGGGGCTGATGTTCTCAGGTGGCGCCAGGTGCAGCTAGTTGGTCATCAGGATCTCGACTACAAAGACTTCCTTCTGCTTCACCTCGGCGCCAGATTGTTTCACCTGCTCACGTGGCATTGGACTCTCTTGGATTCTAGTGCTCTTTGTGATAGCTTGTGTAGCTAACCCTGTTTTTCTTCACTGCCTTGCGCCAGATCACTGTTCGTGTTTTTTGCTTCACCTCACCTGTGCTTTTTGGACACCACTCTGGGATCACGGACACTGCCACTGGGAACCTCGCACTACCCCTCCTCCTTGCACCTTTTGAGTCACTTTTGGAAATAAACCTTTTTGTTATCAACTTGATCCTGCCTATCTGAGTCGTGCTTTTGGGTCCAGAATTTGTACTAACCGTAACAGTATAATTCTATGCAAGTAACTGTTCTGTAGGTTATCTTTCACATTTGACTTTTAACCTGTGGGGAACAGCTCTCAGTTAATTTGGTGTGTTCAGGACGCCATATTGCACACTCCTTCCAAGGCTGTCTTTTAAAAAAACGCAGCTGGTTGTCAACGTTATCGACGTCTTCTTTGGTTTTGCGGCAGACTACAAACTGAAAAAGGGGACTGTCAATTAGCACATTCAGTGTGCGCTGTGCGGTGCAACTACGCTGTGCTCCATTTCAAATGCACTCCGAGTATACTTTTGAAGGAGCCCACTGCAAGCACACGTCAAGCTGTAGAGCATCCGGTCAATTTGGAAATTAAACACAATATACGGATTCATGATCGTATTTTGAAAACAGGCACAGAATGAACAGCAAATCATCCTCGGAAAGACAAAGCAACATGTATGCAAGTTTTTCTCTTTATTCCTGCGTGATCTTGTAGATCACCTTTTTGTGTACAGTTGCTCATAGCTGCTCTCAGAGTGATGAAGCAGAAAATTACCCAGACACTAAGCTTCTGAGATCAACTCATCACTGCAAAACTCTTGTTTGTCAACTGTCCCTCTGTTAAGCTTTTATTTTCTTTGTATTGTTTGTTTTTAATGTCTCTGCTATTCAGGGTTAGGGTAGGGTTAGGGTTAGGTTTAACTGCTATTCAGTTTTTTTAAACAGTTTTTAAAAATCATTTTCCCCTTGATATTTGCCAATGCCCAATGAAACAGTTCATTTTGATATCACATTTAAATGTTTTACTTTTTCAACTCAAATTTCCATAGGCTTTACTGTACACAAGAATACACAAAGGAATGATTGTATGTGGGATACAAAGCAATGATTTTCGTTATGGAAATGTCTATAGATTTCCTGGTGATAAATAATATCATCAGTCAAATATATTTAAAGTAATTTATTGTAATGAAAGTTAATCAAACAGATAATTAATCAAAATCTGATCAGCAAAACTACAATCGAACAGACAAAGTCACAACAAAATAAGGTTCAGGAGTCTGCTTCCCTCTTCTGTCTCCATCCAGAGGTTTAATACCTTACCAGTCACATACACACATACTAGACAGTCACGTAGGCACAGGGTTATGTTTACATATCTTATGCCACATAGTAGTAGAAGATGGACTTTGTACCTTGCTAGGGTACATCTGTGTTAATTTACAGGGGTTTCTTGTCAATGTACTTTGATTAGGGAAACTATGTTATTCAGTAGAGAGGATCATGCTGAGTCACATTGAACAGTGGAAACACACAAATCATAAAGTATTAAGTAATACACAGCATTAAATATTTTTCCACTACAATTTTCACAATTTGATATTTGTTGATGCCCATTGAAACAGTTAATCTTTTTCACATTAAACTCATAATTGCAGAGGCATTTTTTGTTTCCATGTAGAAGACATTGTAGACATTAAATTATAAATTTATTCAAAATAATGTTTTCCCAATATTATGAACTTGCCCAAAATTCACCATTTAAGGTACTTCAGTATTAGTAATGACAACACACATAACCAATAGGTAACAAATAACAAAATCATTAACATTTACTAACATTAAACTGTCAAATTTGTGCTTGTTCAGAGGTCATTTGGTTATATTTCATAATTTCTAAACCTCTGCAGCAGACTGGTAGATGAGTCAGGAACCAAACGCCAAAGTTGATGGCAGTAATCACCTAGAAAAAGATGATAAAAGTTTGTTAATTTTTAAAGATTTATTATGCAGTGGAGAGAATATGTGGATCTAGCATAGTATGTTGTGTAAAATATTGAATAAGGCAAAGTGAATATAATGTCTTAAGTAGTTTCTAAAGAATAAGGGATTATGCAATTTAAGAATTTATGTAAGGAAAAAAATATCTTCTTGAAAACATTCAGTTTAACACTGCTTCATTTTACAACAGGTCTCTGTGTGTTACATCTGAAGGACACTGATTTTTCTCTGGGATCTCAAACAGAATCTTTGAAAATTGGGTTTTAATCATAGACTCTAAATAGTAATTGATGAAGACTGAGTAATGTCATCCATCTGTTACCGCAGGGGGCTCCAGAGGCTCATTGGAAATCCTGTCACAGCCTAACTTTCAGTCAACCTAACTTCAGGCTGAGAGTTTCAGCTTAGGAGGGTTTTAAGCCTCTTGACCTACCATTACATCACTTTCGCCTGTCAATCAGCTCAGCTACTGTAAGCTAAGCGCCAACTATGGATAACTCATAAAATCAAAATGGATGTCCACTTGTACAGTGTGCGACTGTGCACCCATGAATAGAATAACTAACCAGACACATTTCCTGCTGTAAAAACTTCCGGGGGGCTGTTGGAGGTTTTAATGTTGCATATGGTTCTACGTCACCCCCAAAATACTGAATCCTATATCAGTGGTTCTCAAACTTTTTAGACTACGTACCACCTCCGAAAATATTTGGCTTTCCAGTACACTGTAGGCATATTTCTACACACATTTTACGCAGGAGGCAAATATATTCATAAAAAGAATATTATTTATTATTGACTTCTGGCAGCCACGCTGTAGGCCTTCTAAGGGCTAGCGCTATAACTGGCACTTTAACTCCACACAACACTGACATTTGCCCAGATCCAAAAAAAAGTGCAGCACAATAAAAATGACAACTTAATACCAACAACCTGTTTGGAAATATTTAGTTTCCAGTGTTTCCCACACAAAGACGATACCTGGGCCCATGTATATTTCCGACTGCTGATGCTGATTTATCACAACATTTTTCTTCAGTCTCATTTTGTAAAATAAATCGTGAGAGAATCGTATTGTGAACCCAGTATCGTGAAATGTATCGTGAGTTGAGTGAATCGTAACTTCCCTAGTCTTAATGTCTTCACTGCAATGAGCACAAACCCAGCCAGCACTGCAAACGACTCATCACTATGCAAAAATACTAAACCTCACCAGGACTACAAATGAAGATGGTATAAACAAGCTGGTTAGAATATTTGCATGGTTCGGGATACCTGGAGAGCTAATGACAGTAACAGCCCTCAAATCAACCCCCAGTAGTTTCGAGATGTGTGAATACATCATCCAACTCACAACGTCAAGCTCATATTATCCATAAGCTAACGGAATGGCAGAGAAAACAGCTATTCTTTAAGTATCCTTAGCTAGCTTGACCCTCAGCTCACTCTACTGAGCCACAGAGACACAGCCACTGAACCAACTAAAGAGAGTACAGTATTCTTATTGGAATAAGATTACGGACCACAGTCCACAAACATCAGCTGAGGCCAGCCTGGCCCAATCTGTCTACAGTTAAACATAAAAACGCCAAGGCCAAGTGGGCCTATGAAAGTATCTTTGACAGGAGACACTCTGCAGAGCAGCTTCTTGTCCTGGGTTTTGGTGACAGTGGAATTTAAGACTGACAGAAAGAAGGCATGGAATGAGGGTGGGGTCACAGTCCACATTCATTCGTGAAAACACCACATGGGGATATCACAAGAAGAAATTGCAGGTATTTGCAGATTGTAAACCAGAAACATGTGGAGACTCACACTGTCGGACAGCAGTCTCTCAAAGCCCTGTACCTGCGGACACTGAGACTGTTGGCGTGCCATCACCACCTGAAGTCTTGACATCACGCCCAGGGCGTGTTGTGTAAGATGCCATCAAGTTGACTTACTCGTTTTTTGAACATGGAGCGCCATGGGGCAAAATAACCCCCTCCCTTTCCATCAGGGGTGGTAGTCTACCCACTAACCTGTAGTTTAGAAATGTTTTCTTTAAAACTTGTTTGTGGCCGTTGCTGTAACACAAATGTACCATAAAAAAGGGGACCAAATAAGGGACATTTGGTGGACATATAAAGAACGCACAATGGTGACCACAGCCCACAATTGTCAAGTTGTTTTCTGGAATGTTTGTTTGATATGATTAACGTTCAGAATTAATGAAACATTGTTTTGTGTTGCACAAAAATTAAGAGGGGATATGTGGCGTGAGCCTGGTCACAGCCAACAGCAATGAACACGGTATGTACGGCTAGACAGCCTGCTTGTAGAAAAAGCAAAAAAGGTAACTGTTAGTCGACGATCACCATCTCCATTCTCATTGTACTCGGAAGTGTAAATAAATAAAACATTTCACAACATTCTATCTTTCAACAGGTTACATGTAAGCGATCTAACACACAAACCCTGTTGTAAAGTGCTCGCCATCAACAAATAGTTTCCATTCTTAAAACAAATCAGAATATCAATTTTATAACAATGCCTACCCAATAGTGATGTGTCCTTCGTGAATGATTCGTTCAAAACGAACGAATCACCTGGGTGAAAGAACTGAACTGAATCACTTACTGAAAAGAGTCGTTCATTTCTCAACTTCGGTTGAGCTCTCCTCTCTCCTGTCTTGTGTCTTTCTCTACAGACTGCGAGAGTCGCTCAAAGCCCGCACTCCCTCTCCCTTTTATGTCAGTGATATGTACTGACTGAACCAACAGGACGGAGTCGGTCGGGAGCCCTGTGTCGCTCAAGCCCGCCCCTACCTCTCCCTCTCATGTCTCAAAAATTGAGGAAGTAGCAAATATATTATTTAACATTGAGGTGTCGCGAAAATGTATGTGCTTTTCATAGCTGCTGTCAGTTTGCAAATGGCTTTTATATCCAACTTAATTTCACTCACCTGATTGTTTTAACATCCACTAATGATCGTGTTTCAGTCAGTACAGTGTGTGTGTGACTGAGGCTGGTGAATCGCAGTCTCGCTCGTTCACGTTCAGTCAGTGATTCGTTCACTGAACGTACTGAACGGGAGCTCTGAGTCTCTCTCTCCCTCTCAGTCAGTCAGTGAGCGATTTGTGTTAGAGCTTCAGTCAGCACGTTCAGTGAACGGATCACTCACTGACTGACTGAGAGGGAGAGAGAGACTCAGAGCTCCCGTTCAGTACGTTCAGTGAACAAATCACTCACTGACTGACTGAGAGGAAGAGAGAGACTCATAAAGTAGCCTAAGCCCATTCTTTTTTTTTAAATATTATTATTTTTTAAATAATTTTTACTGCCCTGCGTATATAATTTAAAATACAACTGTTCTGGCATAGGATATATTCGTTGCCATGCATATTTTCTGCATGTAGCCTTATATTAAGTTAAATTAATTGTCATTCATGATAACGTTTGCAAACTGAAAGCTGCTTTAACAGGCACATACTTTTTCGCGACACCCAGCCTAACTGTTATTAAAATATTTAGTGCCGTGCTTCCTCAACTTCGAGAGAATTGAGACCCAGGGCTCTTGTTCATTGTACTAGTACGTCGTATATATATATATAGTTAAATGTAACCCAGACTTAAAAGAGTACAAATAAATAAATAAATAATTAAATAAAATAGAAAATCTGGAGGAATGTACTAATATTTACAGTCTATTATTACAGGCAGTTATTTGATTGATTGAATGAGAGTGAACTTTCTAACCAAGAGTGAGACTCCCAGTATTCCTAGCTGGCGGATCTGAGACCTGTTGTTTTGCCTGCCAGCCATATATTCCTACTTAGCCCAGCCTCTGTGCTGAGAACATACGTGTTAGCTTAAATCCAACTCTTCTGTCCTGACTGAGGGTACAAACATCCAAAGTGTTCAGTGGTAGGTTGAAAAAATGACACAATGTTGACTGTTGATCAACAGAGACGCCGTCAAGAGGGGGCCGAATATCATGGCCACCCCAGATCTGATTGGTAGTTAGTAATGTCATGAAATCAAAGTGTCAGTGAATGCAACTGTATTGTCCGAGCGTCAGCGAATGCAGCAGTCTAAATCGCTCTGTGCAGCTGCCAGAGTTTGCCGCACTAGAGACTGCAGCAACAACGAAGAGAACAGAGACTTTTTGGGTGACAGAGTGGAGCACTGTATATAATTTAACTGGTAAGTAGGAGCTACATTTCTTACCTATAGTAAATAGAAATCTGTATTGAGTATACTGTTCGGTTTAGCTTATGTTTCAATTTGTAGTGTTATGTCAATTTGCAGAAGATGAAGAGAAAGTCCACTGAGAATGACATCTCTTCTTTCTTTAAGAATAAAGTGATTACAGGGAAGACACATCTGACAAGGGAGAAGCAGCAGGGAGTGACCGTTAGTGAGGATGAAGTTGAAGATGATGATATCACTGAGCAAAACAGTGACAAGGAAAAGGCAGCAAGAAAGAGTGACAGAACTGAACAGGGACAGACAGCATGTCAAGCAACAGCAGTCAGAGACAACAGGCAGGACTCAGGCATAGCTCTCCATCCTGTTCCTGGACCTACAGGTAAAAGTTATGATAGTTTACCCCTGATGAAAAGGATGACTAGAGAAATGTTATCTGGATAGTTTTAATAAACTGTGAGTCATGACCTAATCACATGACGCATTTTATTCATGTTAGGTAAATTAGGTTGAACAGTCTGAATGTAACTGTTGGCCGATATTACAAATACAATCAGTAATAACTATATGAATAGGGGCTATCTACTAAATGAAAATCTTTTAAAAAAAATGTATAATGATTTTTAAACCAGGTTTTCATATTGTTCTATCCGAGATATATCCCAGTCAAGAGCAGAAGGGCCCAAACAGCCAAATCTGAGGTTCTTCCCTCTGCGACGAGGCTTCATTAAGGAGTGGTACTACACACATAAATGGCTGGAGTACTCTCAGAGT